GAGAGGAGTTGATTTACCTTCTGATTAAGGCTGAGGTTAGCGGGCTGTCATCCCAAGTCCGCGAACCTCAAGTGTAAGAATCGTGATATGAGATAGGCGGCCATATCAGTCCTGAAAATAAAATAAATAAAATAAAATCGTCGTGTGTGTCTATGGGTGTTGATCTATGTTGTCGAATTTGCCTTCAACAGCTACATTGGATTCATCGAAAGCTACCGAGATCCGTACGGTTCCCGGGGGGAATTTGAAGGTATTCTGTTTTTCCAAGTGGGAATGTTTGAATCCAGGCCATTAACATGGACTTGACAGGGGAAGGTTGGAGAGGGTCAAGAACCCTGGTTGACTGGCTCCAAAGAAAACCCTTTTGGGTGTGGGAGAACCCAATGGAGGAATAAACACCATTGGCAGCCAGAGCCGTGGCTCAGTTTCCCATAAATTACCGGAGCTTTAATTCTGTCCATGAAAACGAAGTTGGCCCAGGGGATCTGCAAGATGCGGGGAGCCCAAGCCGTCGGCTAACCTGATGTCTCCCTTTTTCAGGTTTTGTAGCGGTGGTGAACAAAGCCATGAGCGCCAAGTTTGCCCAGCTGGTGGCCCAAGCAGAACACCTGCTGGAAGAGCTGCCTTGGCCCCGCGCCTTCGAGAAGGACCACTTCCTGAAGCCCGATTTCACCTCCCTTGATGTGTTGACCTTTGCCGGAAGCGGGATTCCCGCAGGCATCAACATCCCGAATTGTAAGGCCGCACTGATTGCTGTTACTTCTTCATTAGCTAGACTGATTCCCACCTTTGCTCCAGGAGCTCGCAGTGTGCAGTGCTTTCAACTTCAGTCTTGTCCCCCACCCACAACCCTGTGAGGTAGGCTGGGCCGAGAGATTGCAGCTGGCCCAAAGCCCACCCGAAGAGCCTCCGTGGCTGAATGCAAATTTGAGCCTGAATTGCCCCAGTTCTAGCTCTGCACCTGTAATGGCATGTGGGAAAGACCTTGGGAGACCGGGCCAAGAGGCGCTGCCAAGGAACGGTCAGATAAGAGGCAGCATAGCCCTCAGCTGCATAATGGGTGGAGAAAGAGGCTCAGAAGGGACCCTCCCCAGTTTCTCGGGCTGTAAAGGAGATGGGGGGAGAATGGTACTTTCAGACTTGCAAGATTCTGTCAGTGCAGCCTTACGATAAAGTAAAATTAGCTCATCTGGTCGTGTTTCCTGTCTGGTTTACCCCACAAGGCTGACATCAATCTTTCAAGTCTGAAAGTACAATTTCTACAGCATGTTTGGCTTGGTTAGTTTTTAACCTGGGTTGGAGATGGTGGCTTGTTTCATTTTGGAATGGGTAAGCCTGGGGTGTAATCTCAGCCTGTGGGGTGAGAGTACACTCCAGGGTAGGGATGTCCAACTAAAAAATGGGTTGCTTCAGGAACCACGTCCTGTTTCACTGGCTGAAAACGCAAGGG